TTCCCACCTGTAATAATCGATGAATAAACGTTCAATCAGTACATTGTGTTCTGTGTCAATCAATCAGTACGTTGTGTTCTGTGTCAATCAATCAGTTATCATAAAATTAGCCATACTGTATCTAAAATTCAAACTAGTCTGAAAACTTATACGCAATCGATTGTATAGAGCTGTGTACAGCCAATGGTGCTGAGCCAGGTCCAAAAAACTGGATACCCAGATATGCCGAGTTTTAGCAAACCCAGCACATCCCTGAAGACGGGTGGGGGGCGGGGGGACCCAGATTCTAGTTTTTCAAAAACTCATAGGAATATCTTTTTTACATAAATTTCCGTTAAGTTTTACCTCAATAAAATCATTACTTTTAGCAACTCAATGTGTAAGCCATGTGAAACAGACAAGGTCTGGAAATAATAAAGCAATTGTTACGAATCTATTACGAATATTACGAAATTATTTCTCTTACCAAGATGCATATTAGATGCATTAAGATTACGACACTTGATATTTCATTGCATAATCCTATACTGGATGGCTGATGATACTGAGTAGCCATATTGTATGTGTGTGTGTGTGTGTGGAAGGGGGGGGGGATGAATGTGTGTGAGATTATACTTTTTGGCATGCAGGCGTGTGTGCATGTGCTTGTGTCAACTTGACGCTCTGTCACAGAATTCAGGAACAGTAATGTTATTTTTAATCACGCAATTTTAATAAATAAAGCGTTTTCTAAATTTCAGATTGGATAAATTCCTGTCGCCATAGGAACGATATGAACAATAATAATAATGCGTTCATTGGTACCGGTAGCAGAGAAATGAAAGCTGCTACCAAACAGGGATGGACAACTCTAATGAATATAGAGATGATTCGCGCAATTTCAAACATATTTTAATAGTAATGATCATTAACGAAACACGAAAAATGTGTGTAAATAAAACAATATTTTTTTAGACAATGCAGTTCGTTTAAAACAGTGGTTCTCACCTTCCCAATACCGCGCCCCTTATACAGTTCCTCATGTGGTAGCGACCCCCAACAACAAAATTATTTTCCTTGCTACTTCATAAATATGTGTTTTCTGATGGTCTTAGGCGACCCCGGTGAAAGGATCGTTCGATCCCCACAGGGATCGCGACCCACAGGTTGAGAACCGCTGGTTTAAAATAACTCATTCTGACAGTGCTGATAGGTTTAATTCATCTTAACTTTTCCTGATAGATTGAATATTTTATAGATTGTATATTTTATAGATTGTATATTTTATAGATTGAGTTTTATAGAGTGAATATTTTATAGATTGAAGATTTTATAGATTGAATATTTTATAGATTGAATATTTTATAGATTGAATATTTTGTAGATTGAATATTTTATAGATTGAATATTTTGTAGATTGAATATTTTATAGATTGAATATTTTATAGAGTGAATATTTTATAGATTGAATATTTTATAGATTGAATATTTTATAGATTGAATATTTTATAGTTTGAATATTCTATAGATTGAATATTTTATAGATTGAATATTTTATAGATTGAATATTTTATAGATTGAATATTTTATAGATTGAATATTTTATAGATTGAATATTTTATAGATTGAGTTTTATAGAGTGAATATTTTATGCATTTTGATAGCGGCTATCGACACGGACAAAATGAAGGTCAATATCTGAGAACTGACCAATCCTGTCTGGACATCAAAATTAACAGACACAAAAAAAAATATCTACGTCCATTTATTATAAGACAACAGACAGAGCCAGTTTCCTTCTATTCTCATTGTCCCATCCTCAGTCATGCCAAAATTCCATTCTATTCTCTCATTTGCGTGAGAATAAGAATTGACTTACAAGGCCCCCTCTATGTCATAACCCCTCGATCCATTTGTGCCCATATTTCTGCTTCCCTCCACCCTTTTTCAAAATTAAAGTACAAACACTTTTCATATAAAAGAAGAAAAAAAAAAAGCTCAACCTTGTCACCCCCTTTCTCAACACCTGTTTCATCTCAAGGTAAACTTCTGATTGCCACAAGTTGGCAAATTTGATTTAGGAGTCGCAGCACTAAAAAGGTTGAGAACCGCTGGGTGTAATTACATTAATAATTTATTCGTGTGTTTGAAGGCTTCAACTGTGGTGGTTCGATGGTCCGATGCATGCAGTCCTTGACCCCATTGGTTGAAACAACACATTGTGGAAGATGAGAAAATAAACTTTTTTCTAACAACCGCATCCGGGTATTGTCTCAGAACACCCTGAGCCGGGAATTGTCTCAAAACACTCTGACCCGGGTATTTTCTCAAAACATTTTGACCCAGGAATTGTCTTAAAACACTCTGACCCGGGAATTGTCTCAAAACACTCTGACCCGGGAATTGTCTCAAAACACTCTGACCCGGGTATTGTCTCAAAACACTCTGACCCGGGTATTGTCTCAAAACACTCCGACCCGGGCATTGTCTCAAAACACTCTGACCCGGGAATTGTCTCATAACACTCTGACCCGGGAATTGTCTCAAAACACTCTGACCCGGGTATTGTCTCAAAACACTCTGACCCGGGTATTGTCTCAAAACACTCTGACCCGGGCATTGTCTCATAACACTCTGAGCCGGGTATTGTCTCAAAACACTCTGACCCCGGGAATTGTCAAACACTCTGACCCGGGCATTGTCTCATAACACTCTGAGCCGGGTATTGTGTCAAAACACTCTGACCCCGGGAATTGTCTCAAAACACTCTGACCCGGGAATTGTCTCAAAACACTCTGACCCGGGTATTGTCTCAAAACACTCTGACCCGGGTATTGTCTCAAAACACTCTGACCCGGGAATTGTTTCATAACACTCTGAGCCGGGTATTGTCTCAAAACACTCAGAGCCGGGCATTGTGTCAAAACACTCTGAGCCGGGTATTGTCTCAGAACACTCCGAGCCGGGTATTGTCTCAAAACACTCTGACCCAGGTATTGTCTCATACACTCTGACCCGGGTATTGTCTCATACACTCTGACCCGGGTATTGTTTCAAAACACCCAGACACGAGTATTATCTCAGAACACCAAGACCCGGGTATTGTCTCAGAACACCTGGACACCGGTATTGTCTCGGAACACCCAGACCCGGGTATTGTCTCAAAACTGCACCCGACTCATCCCTGATATCCAATCACCTCGTCTCTGGGCTGTGATTTATAGGTGGCACCTAACATTAAAGGCACCCATGGAATATTTCAGTTTGAAAGTTGATAGTTTAAATGTGCCTACATCCCAACTTATGTCTCCCTAAATATCCGAGACTTTCTGCAGCCACATGAGGTTGCAGCCCCCCACGTGACGACTCCTCACAATGTTTATGTTACACTACAATACCATAGTTCCAAAGTTCATTATTTAGTTACTTCTGTTTCCAAGTCTTCCCATGTCTCCTCATGTCTCCAAGTCTCCACATGTCTTCCTCCTGTTTCCAAGTCTCCACATATCTGCTTCATGTATCCAATAATCCCCATGTCTCCCTCCTTATAAAACTATCCCCATGTCTCCCTCCTTATAAAACTATCCCCATGTCTCCCTCCTTATAAAACTATCCCCATGTCTCCCTCCTTATAAAACTATCCCCATGTCTCCCTCCTTATAAAACTATCCCCATGTCTCCCTCCTTATAAAACTATCCCCATGTCTCCCTCCTTATAAAACTATCCCCATGTCTCCCTCCTTATAAAACTATCCCCATGTCTCCCTCCTTATAAAACTATCCCCATGTCTCCCTCCTTATAAAACTATCCCCAAGTCTCCCTCCTGAATCCAACAATCCCCATGTCTCCCTCCTGAACCCAACAATCCCCATGTCTCCCTCCTTATAAAACTATCCCCAAGTCTCCCTACTGAATCCAACAATCCCCATGTCTCTCTCCTGAACCCAACAATCCCCATGTCCCCTCCTTATAAAACTATCCCCAATTCTCCCTCCTGAATCCAACAATCCCCATGTCTCTCTCCTGAACCCAACAATCCTCATGTCTCCCTCCTTATAAAACTATCCCCAAGTCTCCCTCCTGAACCCAACAATTCCCATGTCTCCCTCCTTATAAAACTATCCCCAAGTCTCCCTCCTGAATCCAACAATCCCCATGTCTCTCTCCTGAACCCAACAATCACCATGTCTCCCTCCTTATAAAACTATCCCCAAGTCTCCCTCCTGAACCCAACAATCCCCATGTCTCCCTCCTTATAAAACTATCCCCAAGTCTCCATCCTGAATCCAACAATCCCAAGTCTCCCTCCTTATAAAACTATCCCCCATGTATCCCTCGTGTATCCAACAATCCCCATGTCTCACTCCTTATCTAACTATCGACCCTTGTCTCCCTCCTTTACCCATGTCTCCCTCCTGTTTCCAAGTCTCCCTCATGTTTCCTACTCTCCACATGTCTCCCTCCAATTTCCAAGTCTCCCTCATGTCTCACACCAGTTTCCCACAATCCCAAAGTTTCCCTCCTGTTTCCAACTATCCCCATTTATCCCGCAGGTTTTCAACTTGCTGTATCCCACTATTCCCATATCTTCCTCATGTATCCTACTATCCCAATGTCTCCCTCATGCTCTCAAATATCCGAATATCTCCCTCCCGTTTCCCTCTATCCTCACGTCTTCCTCCCGTTTCCATCTCTCCCCATTGCCTCCCCGATCAAATGAATGAAAAGGGGGGAGGGGGGAAATTATTACGTATGTGTTCTTAACTGTGTATGAGCTTAATTCTTCCTTAATTCTCGCGTGACTCTTTAAGAACAAATCTTCCATTCACATATTGTAAATCTGTTTCAGCCCTACTACTACCAACCCCACCCCAACCGTTCAATCGTGCCACACATCAGGCGCATTGATAATCAAATCAGAAGGAGGTCGCTCCAGATTTGAATCAGTTAACGACTATCTACGCCCCAATGAACACAACAATGAACGCCCTGAGTCCTGAGATTATAATCACATGGACGACAATGGTCCACTTCAAGCAAGGGCTCCCGGCAACACGCGGCAGTTGTCTGCCTTTGGTGTCTTTGAACTGAAGTTGAGATCATTTACATCCCTTGTTGACCGCGTCGGTTTCTGGTGTGTAACTGTTCAGCTCTATCGTGTCCTGTGTTAGTGGTAAAAACACATCATATTGTGATGTTAAGTTGTTAGTTATAACATGTCATGCGTTGATGCTAAGACTAACAAAGTGAACTTGCACTTCACTGATGTGAATAATATAAATATAATTTTAAAAATGGTGATGTAAAGTGTCTACTGTGAGAAAGAAACGAAACAAAGATTTAATTGATTTCTGCGAACTTTACAAAAAATATTTTATACAATTTTTTGGTGATTTGTTTTATGACGTCATTATTGCTTTTTTCAGAGTAAAGCGTATTGCTATACCCTTGCATTATATTTATAGGCCTATATAGTTCGATACTAGGATTATATTAATATATAGTTCGGTACTAGGATTATATTAATATATAGTTCGGTACTAGGATTATATTAATATATAGTTCGGTACTAGGATTATATTAATATATAGTTCGGTACTAGGATTATATTAATATATAGTTCGGTACTAGGATTATATTAATATATAGTTCGGTACTAGGATTATATTTGTATATATTTGCGTGCTAGAATTATAATTCTATACAAAGCCGAGGTCAGGACCTCGGATGATTAAGTGTTCTTAAGTTATCCTGTGAACACAAAAGAACACTACTGACTTTCAATGCCGGCAGCAGAGACAAAACTGAAAAGTTGCAGCAGGAGGGGGGGGGGCAGGTGTTCTGAAAAAGTTAGAGACGGTTCTGTTTTTATTTATACCCGTCCATACTAGGATGACACTGTTATACCCTTCCATACTAGGATGACACTGCTATACCCTTCCATACTAGGATGACACTGCTATACCCTTCCATACTAGGATGACACTGTTATAGCCTTCTATACTAGGATGACACTGCTATACCCTTCCATACTAGGATGACACTGCTATACCCGTCCATACTAGGATGACACTGCTATATCCGTCCATACTAGGATGACACTGCTATACCCTTCCATACTAGGATGACACTGCTATACCCTTCCATACTAGGATTACACTGCTATACCCTACCATCCTTTGATCATTTTTCTATATAATATATACTCAATATCCTTGTATAACAACAATTAATCGCCAGATTTGGCCCACTAGGTCACTTAAACTAACCCAGTAGGTCACTTAAACTAACCCGCTAGGTCTATTAAACTAACCCACAAGGTAACTTAAACTAACCCGCTAGGTCAGTTAAACTAACCCACTAGGTCACTTAAAATAACCCACTAGGTCACTTAAACTAACCCACTAGGTCACTTAAAATAATCCACTAGGTCACTTAAACTAACCCACTAGGTCACTTAAACTAACCCGCTAGGTCACTTAAACTAATCCGCTAGGTCTCTTAAACTAACCCACAAGGTCACTTAAACTAACCCGCTAGGTCACTTAAACTAGCCCTCTAGGTCACTTAAACTAACTCGCTAGGTCACTTAAATTAACCCACTAGGTCACTTAAACTAACTCGCTAGGTCACTTAAACTAACTCTCTAGGTCACTTAAACTAACTCGCTAGGTCACTTAAACTAACCCACTAGGTCACTTAAACTAACCCTCTAGGTCACTTAAACAAACCTGCTAGGTCACTTAAACTAACCCAGTAGGTCACTTAAACTAACCCAGTAGGTCACTTAAAATAACCCACTAGGTCACTTAAACTAACCCACTAGGTCACTTAAAATAACCCATTAGGTCACTTTAACTTACCCACTAGGTCACTTAAACTAACCCGCTAGGTCACTTAAACTAACCCGCTAGGTCACTTAAACTAACCCACTAGGTCACTTAAAATAACCCACTAGGTCACTTAAACTAACCCACTAGGTCACTTATACTAACCCGCTAGGTCACTTAAACTAACCCGCTAGGTCACTTAAACTAACCCGCTAGGTCACTTAAACTAACCCACTAGGTCACTTAAACTAACCCGCTAGGTCACTTAAACTAACCCGCAAGGTCACTTAACTAACCCACTAGGCCACTTAAACTAAGCCACTAGTTCACTTAAACTAACCCATTAGTTCACTTAAACTAACCCACAAGTTCACTTAAAATAACCCACTAGGTCACTTAAACTAACCCGCTTGGTCACTTAAACTAACTCACTAGATCACTTAAACTAGCCCGCTAGGTCACTTAAACTTACCCACAAGGTCACTTAAACTAACCCACAAGGTCACTTAAACTAACCCACTAGGTCACTTAAACTAACCCAGTAGGTCACTTAAAATAACCCACTAGGTCACTTAAACTAACCCACTAGGTCACTTAAAACAACCCACTAGGTCACTTAAACTAATCCGCTAGGTCACTTAAACTAACCCGCTAGGTCACTTAAACTAACCCGCTAGGTCACTTAAACTAACTCGCTAGGTCACTTAAAATAACCCACTAGGTCACTTAAAATAACCCACTAGGTCACTTAAACTAACCCACTAGGTCACTTAAACTAACCCGCTAGGTCACTTAAACTAACCCGCTAGGTCACTTAAACTAACCCGCTAGGTCACTTAAACTAACCCGCTAGGTCACTTAAACTAACCCGCTAGGTCACTTAAACTAACCCGCTAGGTCACTTAAACTAACCCGCTAGGTCACTTAAACTAACCCGCTAGGTCACTTAAACTAACCCGCTAGGTCACTTAAACTAACCCGCTAGGTCACTTAAACTAACCCGCTAGGTCACTTAAACTAACCCGCTAGGTCACTTAAACTAACCCGCTAGGTCACTTAAACTAACCCGCTAGGTCACTTAAACTAACCCGCTAGGTCACTTAAACTAACCCGCTAGGTCACTTAAACTAACCCGCTAGGTCACTTAAACTAACCCGCTAGGTCACTTAAACTAACCCGCTAGGTCACTTAAACTAACCCGCTAGGTCACTTAAACTAACCCGCTAGGTCACTTAAACTAACCCGCTAGGTCACTTAAACTAACCCGCTAGGTCACTTAAACTAACCCGCTAGGTCACTTAAAATAACCCACTAGGTCACTTAAACTAACCCACTAGGTCACTTAAACTAACCCGCTAGGTCACTTAAACTAACCCGCTAGGTCACTTAAACTAACCCGCTAGGTCACTTAACTAACCCACTAGGCCACTTAAACTAACCCACTAGGTCACTTAAACTAACCCACTAGTTCACTTAAACTAACCCACAAGTTCACTTAAAATAACCCACTAGGTCACTTAAACTAACCCGCTAGGTCACTTAAACTAACTCACTAGATCACTTAAACTAGCCCGCTAGGTCACTTAAACTTACCCACAAGGTCACTTAAACTAACCCACAAGGTCACTTAAACTAACCCACTAGGTCACTTAAACTGACCCACTAGGTCACTTAAACTGGCCCACTAGGTCATTTAAACTGGCCCACTAGGTCACTTAAACTGGCCCACTAGGTCACTTAAACTAACCCTCTAGGTCACTTAAACTAACTCGCTAGGTCACTTAAACTAACCCACTAGGTCACTTAAACTGACCCGCTAGGTCACTTAACTAACCCACTAGGTCACTTAAACTAACCCGCTAGGTCACTTAAACTAACCCACTAGGTCACTTAAACTAACCCACTAGGTCACTTAAACTAACCCACTAGGTCACTTAAACTAACCCTCTAGGTCACTTAAACTAACTCGCTAGGTCACTTAAACTAACCCACTAGGTCACTTAAACTAATCCGCTAGGTCACTTAACTAACCCACTAGGTCACTTAAACTAACCCGCTAGATCACTTAAACTAACCCACTAGGTCACTTAAACTAACCCACTAGGTCACTTAAACTGGCCGCCAACAATTTAGGAAATTGTTGTTGTTTTTTTAAATGTTTAAACAAAAAAAAATCTTTCAAACAGCCTGGAGTATCTAATATGCAGATAAAAAATCAACTTTTAAAGAAACGTTTCCTGACGTTACTCAAACTGCAAATATTAATTTCTGAAAAGATAACATGTTCATTTTAAAAATGTCATGTTATACATTTGACAACGGCTTATTTTGATTAAGTTTTGAAATGATAACTTGACTATCTGATTGTTCCACTAAAACTGACTGCTGTGATATCCCACTAAAAATTGACTGCTGTGATTGTTCCATTAAAACTTAACTGCTGTAATTGTTCCATTAAAACTGACTGCTGTAAGTGTTCCATTAAAACGTGACTGCTGTGATTCTTCCATTTAAACTGACTGCTGTAATTGTTCCATTAAAACTTGACTGCTGTAATTTTCCATTAAAACTTGACTGCTATGATTGTTCCATTAAATCGTGACTGCTGTGATAGTTCCATTAAAACTTGACTGCTGTGATAGTTCCATTAAAACGTGACTGCTGTGATAGTTCCATTAAAACGTGACTGCTGTGATAGTTCCATTAAAACGTGACTGCTGTGATAGTTCCATTAAAACGTGACTGCTGTGATAGTTCCATTAAAACGTGACTGCTGTGATAGTTCCATTAAAACGTGACTGCTGTGATAGTTCCATTAAAACGTGACTGCTGTGATAGTTCCATTAAAACGTGACTGCTGTGATAGTTCCATTAAAAATTCACATTGTCGTGCAGTTTATATCCTCATATAACATTTTATGTTATTCATATTGTCATGTAATGTATATGTCATGTAATTCTTATTGTCATTTTATTCATATAGTCATGTTATTCATATTGTTATACATTTCATATTGTAATGTAATTCATGTATCATGTTATTCATAGTGTCACGTAATTCACATTTTTATGTAATTCATATTATCATATAATTCATATTGTCATATAATACATATTGTCATATAATTCAGGCTGAGGATCAAAAGTTGCAGCAAGACAAAAACATCACTGAATATTGGTGACCATTGGAAAGACTTAACATGGGAGAAGGTTAGCTACTTTACTTAACCAGCTTATTCTTATTTACTGCTTGACTTCAGAAACATAGATATAGTTTGCTGTTTTCTTGCTTAAGCTTATAGCATTGGCTACAAGAGCTATTCTTGTGTTTATATTAATGCATACAAGAGTTATAATTTTGTTTTACAACAAAACAATTTGGTTTTATATCTTTAAATAAAAACCTTAAAGTACACATTTTATGTTCTATTCAAAATTGACACTTTTGAACATTCTATTCAACTTTGACACTTTTTGAATGTTCTATTCAACTTTGACACTTTTCGGATCATCTATTCAACAGTGACAGCAGTGGATTGCCTGGCGCTGCCAAAACGACAGAAAGTGTTTGAGAAAACTTTCCTGCCAGTGGGTGACGTACTGCCTGTCTGGTCAAACGTCTCACTAGACACGAAACTTCCAGTGCCACCAAGTCCTAGCGGGAAATTCACACTCTACACAAACAAGGTTAGTGTCCTACTACCCAAGCGAGAGATGTACACTATACCCAAAGAAGGTTAGTGTCCTACTACCTAGGCGGGACATGTACATCATAGTATAGATAGTGAACATGTCCCGCCTAAGTAGTGACTATTACCAAAGAAGGTTAGTTTGCAACTACATTGGCAGGACATGTACACTATACCCAAAGGGTTAGTGTTCTACTACATTGGCAGGACATGTACACTATACCCAAATGGTTAGTGTTCTACTACATTGGCAGGACATGTACACTATACCCAAAGGGTTAGTGTTCTACTACATTGGCAGGACATGTACACTATACCCAAAGGGTTAGTGTTCTACTACATTGGCAGGACATGTACACTATACCCAAAGGGTTAGTGTTCTACTACATTGGCAGGACATGTACACTATACCCAAAGGGTTAGTGTTCTACTACATTGGCAGGACATGTACACTATACCCAAAGGGTTAGTGTTCTACTACATTGGCAGGACATGTACACTATACCCAAAGGGTTAGTGTTCTACTACATTGGCAGGACATGTACACTATACCCAAAGGGTTAGTGTTCTACTACATTGGCAGGACATGTACACTATACCCAAAGGGTTAGTGTTCTACTACATTGGCAGGACATGTACACTATACCCAAAGGGTTAGTGTTCTACTACATTGGCAGGACATGTACACTATACCCAAAGGGTTAGTGTTCTACTACATTGGCAGGACATGTACACTATACCCAAAGGGTTAGTGTTCTACTACATTGGCAGGACATGTACACTATACCCAAAGGGTTAGTGTTCTACTACATTGGCAGGACATGTACACTATACCCAAAGGGTTAGTGTTCTACTACATTGGCAGGACATGTACACTATACCCAAAGGGTTAGTGTTCTACTACATTGGCAGGACATGTACACTATACCCAAAGGGTTAGTGTTCTACTACATTGGCAGGACATGTACACTATACCCAAAGGGTTAGTGTTCTACTACATTGGCAGGACATGTACACTATAACCAAAGGGTTAGTGTTCTACTACATTGGCAGGACATGTACACTATAACCAAAGGGTTAGTGTTCTACTACATTGGCAGGACATGTACACTATAACCAAAGGGTTAGTGTTCTACTACATTGGCAGGACATGTACACTATACCCAAAGTGTTAGTGTCCTACTACATTGGCAGGACATGTACACTATACCCAAAGTGTTAGTGTCCTACTACATATATAAAGTCTTGCTTATTTCAAGCTTCTTAGGACTTAAAGGCGTGAGAGTTTCTATTCTATAGAAACATATCATTTCATGTGTCCCAACTATAGAAACATATCATTTTATGTGTCCCAACTATAGAAACATATCATTTTATGTGTCCCAACTATAGAAACATATCATTTCATGTGTCCCAACTATAGAAACATATCATTTCATGTGTCCCAACTATAGAAACATATCATTTCATGTGTCCCAACTATAGAAACATATCATTTCATGTGTCCCAACTATAGAAACATATCATTTCATGTGTCCCAACTATAGAAACATATCATTTCATGTGTCCCAACTATAGAAACATATCATTTCATGTGTCCCAACTATAGAAACATATCATTTCATGTGTCCCAACTATAGAAACATATCATTTCATGTGTCCCAACTATAGAAACATATCATTTCATGTGTCCCAACTATAGAAACATATCATTTCATGTGTCCCAACTATAGAAACATATCATTTCATGTGTCCCAACTATAGAAACATATCATTTTATGTGTCCCAACTATAGAAACAATTATTTCATGTGTCCCAACTATAGAAACATATCATTTTATGTGTCCCAACTATAGAAACATATTATTTCATGTGTCCCAACTATAGAAACATATCATTTCATGTGTCCCAACTATAGAAACATATCATGTCATGTGTTCCAACTATAGAAACATATCATTTCATTTGTCCTATCAATAGAAACATATCATTTCATTTGTCCTATCAATAGAAACATATCATTTCATTTGTCCCATCAATAGAAACATATCATTTCATTTGTCCCATCAATAGAAACATATCATTTCATTTGTCCCATCAATAGAAACATATCATTTCATTTGTCCCATCAATAGAAACATATCATTTAATGTGTCCCCAGCTTGGAGAACCAAAGTACATTTCTCGGCAGCGTTATGACTTTGACCTAACAAACCCACGGGGGAGAGAAGCCCCCGGGCCTTACGACTCACTAGCTGATCCTTCACTGAAGTATTACTTTACATCACCAAGGGCTAGACGCCATCTGGTGGAAACGGGACTTGTCACGGACAGAGGAGAAATTAAGTGCACAGTCCAAGAGTTCAATCAGTACAGGTGAGTGTTAAGTTTCAGTCCAAGATTTCATGCAAGACAGTTGAATGTTTAGTCCATGGTCCAAGAGTTCAATCAGTAGATTTGAGTGTTTAGTCCATGGTCCAAGAGTTCAACCAGTACAGTTGAGTATTTAGTCCATGGCCCAAGAGTTCAATCAGTACAGTAAATGTTAAGTCCATGGTCCTAGATGTCAATTAGTACAGGTGAATGTTTAGCGATAAAATGACCGCTATTTTATTGTTTCAGATTCCTGGCTATAATCCTCACGATTTTAATAGGGTTCAAAAGTCGTCAATGGGCTTTTTAGAATTTTTTAAGCTTTTTATATTAACTTCGCTTTTCTGCCTGCCTGGCTGGGTGGCAAAAAATTCGGACAGCTAATTGACCCACTTCCCGTCAACGTATCGAGCTGAAACATGGCACATAGAATCGTTGCCGATGACAGCACAATCTTTCAAATTTTCAGCCCCACCCTACTCCCCTCCCAACACAAAAATTTTTTTTTTCCTTTTTTTTTCAAGGGGAAGATGCAGAAAATATGACGACACTGATTTCACGAAATAAAATTCCTGATAACTGCGCTTAATGAGTCTTTTTTTTTATTTTTTTTTTAGATATCTCAAGTGCGTTTGGTGCATAATGTTTTCTTTTGCTTCTCTCTGTTAAAAAAATGTGTTGTAGTTGTAAAAGCCGATGGGTCATTAGATTATTAATATAATTTAGGGAGTGAAAAATGTGCGCCCTTTTGAAAACGGGGGGGGGGGGGGGGTGTGGATGTTTATAAAGTCTGTTACTTGTTTGCATGTTTTATCAGTGGCTCTCACTCTCATAATAATTAACCAAACTTTCTCAGCAGTGGTTCTCACATTTATTATAGTTAACCCAACTGTCTCAGCAGTGGTTCTCACATTCATTACAATTAAGCTGGCTTATCAGTGGTTCTCACATTCATAAAATTATCTGTGACAATTAGCAGTTTGACATTCCTTGACCATGAATCTCATGATCAGAACATAGACAATGCTAATCAAGAATAACTGATATAATATTCTAACAATTTAGTTAAGCTTCCTAAATCTTTTTTTTTTTTTCAAAGCGTAACAAAACTCAACACTGAACAAAGTTAATTTTATCACAAAATAATTATTAGAATGGGTTCACATTCTTTAGGGGTTTTATTTTCTGATGGACTGGTGGAAAGTTGATGAATAATCTTTTACTTGAACACGTAAGACAAAACCAAAAAATTGCAATGTTTATACTTCCTCATGTATAGTATAGCAGCAACTTTGTCTGACAGTTGAAAGGAAGCTCACTCTGTCCTCTAACTACCTCACAACTTAATTCCTTCTTTGTGCAACTTTTTGATACAATTTGATTCATCACCAATACTTGGGCAAATGGATGTTGATTATTTGAAACAATGTGATAAATCACAGATACTTCGGGAATGCAGGTTGATTGTTTGGGATGAGTGCACCTTGGCTCACAATTGCGATAGAAGCAGACGACTCTACTCTTCGGGATATCAAAACTATTAAATACCGGTATTCCAAACATCTCAAAACTATTAAATACCGGTATTCCAAACATCTCAAAACTATTAAATACCGGTATTCCAAAATCTACAATTTTCGCGGAATAGCCAAATTTTTTATGAGTACATTTTAATAGAAAACATTTTAATAATAAACATTTTTATAAATTAAACTTGAGACATTTCTTTTTTAAAAATAAAAATTTGGTTCGACTATGCTTTTGTTGCAATACCTCAGGTCTGCTTGATGAATGTCTGTTAGACTCTACTTGTCGTATGAACATGAAGCTTGAGTTTATTTTATAACGATGTTGAATTGTATGACATTCTCATCGGAGTTTAAATTTATCTGGTGATTATATAAGTTAAAATGTACAATATCTTATTTTTTACGGATATTCTAATGTCCTTATGGACTTTTAAGGATAGGTCATTTCAGGTCAAATTTTTTGTCCTGTCCGTAAAGAACAATTGGCAAAACTATTGCATGTTCAAGAGTGACTCACCAAAAGGGAACGAAGCAATATGAAGACAGTGTAAAACGTAGTCCATTTTTTCAGATAATGTTTATTTTAATTAATTTTTTTTTTCTATTTACTAAATGGCAAAATATTTCCTTTTTTTTTTAATTCCTGAAATTAACGTCAAACATTTCTACTTCTTGTGATGATGTTAAAGGGAGTTTATCAGGTACAGAGCTGTAACAGAACTTGCACTCCAGAAGAAACGTGAGAGCAGGCTGAAAGAAGAGGATGCCAACAGGCTGTTCGTTGATTGGCCGGTGAGCTGTCATGTGGACTATCATGACGATAGCTGTGCTAACATTGTGAGCTGTCCTGAACATTTTAAACTTTACAAAATATTAAATTTTAAAAGATATATATTTTTGGTCTTTTTTAAAAAGTCCCTTTACCATATTCTGTAGGCCTAGGGCCTAGAGTCAACAGCAAAATGTATAGGGGCCTAAATAAAATGCTAAGCACTGCCGTAAAATTTAACGATATAAATTGTATAAAGATTTTCAAAATAATAATTGCACAGTTTACGAGATAGATTTAAAAAGAACTATACAAACATCAAAAATGTAATTTATCTATAAACATTGTATGAGCTTAAAAATATGTTCCCTAAATATCAAATATTGAAATCAATGTCTGGAGCTAGTTACTACATCAGTGACTCTATGACTGCCATTTATATATTGAAAACAACTGGAAATAGTTGCTACACTACTGGCTGTACAACTTTCATACATACAATATAAGATATTACATTCACCTTCCATTTTTTAAAATTTTATTTTAGAGAACTCATAAATTAAATAAAGTTGAAAGACACAAACAGACAATGAGTGAACCCCCTAGGAAGAACTGGACCATTGGTGGACTGGAGGTATGAACATATTCAATTAAACTAGACCATTGGTGAACTGGAGGTATGAACATATTCAATTAAACTAGAGCGTTGGTTAACTGGAAGCATGAACATATTCAATTAAACTAGACCATTGGTGAACTGGAGGTATGAACATATTCAATTAAACTAGAGCGTTGGTGAACTGGAAGCATGAACATATTAAAAAATTTCTTTAAACTAGACTATTGGTTGACTGGAAGTATGAAGGGATTTATTTTTTTATTATTATGCTTATTTTGTATCAATAAATAACATTGTGAGTTTAAGATTGTTTGTGTTTGTCCTTAATATTCTATTAACCCCTAAGTAAATTAAGAACACATTTTTTAATTAAAAACTTGGCCAATTAGCATCAATTCTTCTTATAGACATTTCATCCAAACAAACTTGTTTTTAGGTTCTGGTATATCACATAATTTTTTAGCTCCTAAAGGTGAATACATTTAAAAGTAGATGTTCAATTCTATGTAATCATCCAGAGAAAAATTGTGTCAGTTAAACATGTTTCATCATGAAAACTTATTTATACAAACTTGACATATTTCCAGATGTATGAACAAAACTTAGCTAATGTGTTTAAAAAAAGGAAGGAAAAGAAGGATGGTCGAAGTAAAAATAAGAGTCATCTTAAAGTAAGTTTATTTTGTTACTGAATATATACTAGTTTTATATTTTAAAAATTACAGTGCTATATTTGCACAACTTTTGTGTCATAATCTGTAACAAGGACCATGTAAGTGAACATTTTATTAATAAGTAAAAGCAAATGTTGACTTTTTTAAAATTTAAGACACTTAGAATCATTTTCTTTTTAATTGAGGGTTGGAAATTGTATTTATCTATGAATTATTTTAGAAGATTGCTTATTTTTCTGAGATAGTTCTTTTATTGATAGTTCTTTTATTGTTTAAATTTACTAACCATCATGAAAATGACAACTAAATAGTTAAATCACACAAAAATATACTGAGAACGCTCTTTCTCTTTTTTAAGTTCATGATTATGTTTGTTAATTTTGATGTAGGCCTACAGCGTGATAAGCTCAGCCTAGGCTGGGGTACTGCGCTATATAAAACCACTAATAATAATAATAATAATAATAATATACAAAAATTTTAGAAGAAGAACTATGAAAAGAATGTACAGACAATCAAAAGTACAGTAAAGATAAATCCTGAAAAAACTGATGAAGATAATGAAAATGAGACAGTTGAAGAAAATAATGAACAAAATAAGAATGATAGAGGAAAAACATCAGAAGAAGAGCAGACTGATGAAGAAGTTAATGAAAATAAGACTCCAGAGTCCACTGTGAGTTTATGTCTTTAATTATGTCATTGTGTTTCATGCTATTTGATATAGATTTAAATAAAGATATAGGGTATCATTTACATCCAAATTAATGAGTCATTAATCTCATTAAAAAGATAGTAAAAATTTTAAGTTGTTACCCTAAAAAAAAAACCTTTAATTTTGAAATTTAAGATCATAAAAATTATTTAGTATCTAGATAAATATTCATTAAGATCATAATAAACTTTCCATAACTTTTCAATTATTTATCCAAATGTTTTAAATAAAAATTTCCTTTCAACCAAAGCTGAAAAATGACATCAATTTATTGCAGAGATCAATCCATCGCAGCACAAATTTAGTCAAGGAACTAAGACAAAGAGAACAAGAACTTCATCAACGTTTAAAACAGCAGCAGAGACGTAGGGCAGAAGAACATGACAGAAAGGTTTGGCAAGTTTCTTATAAGATCTAGATTTTTATTTTTACATGAAATGACTATTGCTCTTGAAACTGACACAGCAGTTCTATTTAATATTTTATTTCATCAAATTGCATGTAGAAAAAGGTTTTATAGTTTTATTGTAGAATCTTCAAATCTGCAATTACAATACTTGCAAATATACACATTTAAAGATGAGTTTTAAAGAAAGAAACCAGTCATTTGAATTAGACAAAAATCTCTTATTTTCTCTTTAAACAATTTTTTTTTAATATTCACTCTACATGACTTGCATTCTGCACATCAATATCATTTTTTTTAATTTCATCTAATAATTAATGATATTTTGGTGAGAAAAATGTGAATGTAACATTTATAATATCTATGTTTTGTTGATTGTAAAATTTATAAAATCTATGATTTGTTGAATGGAGCATTTACTATATCTTTTTGTTTAATGTAGCATTTATTTAAATAACTAAGTTTTTTAATGTAACATTTATAATATCTTTGTTTTGTTTAATATAACATTTATATTATCTATGTTTTGTTGAATTGAGCATTTATCATATCTATGTTTTGTTTAAAGTAACATTTTCAATAACTATGTTTTGTTGAATGTAACATTTACAATATATATGTTTTGTTATTGTCTCAGATAGAAGAAAACTGGAGAGAAAGACAACAAAGGCAAGAATTGCTCTTACAACATGAGGCTGAAATTGAGGCTATGATCAAGGAAAAACGCCTACATCAGATTAGGGAGAGAGAAGCAACTCTACTACGGCAAAGAAGAAAGCAGGAGGAACAACTCATGAAGATTAAAAAAGAACTGGCCGGTGCGAGTAAACAAAGACACAAACCAAAGCCAAGGGCAAATAATCATGGCAAGGGAGATAATAAGGGTGAATGAGGGGACAACAAAAGTAGCTTACATATATCTGACAATGAAGATAAATGAGGAACACCATGCTTTCAATATCGGTTTCAAAGAAATGATTCTTATATAAAGAAAGCCATGGTTTGTTTACATAGAAACTATTTTTGAAAGCTTTCAAATGTAATATCTAATTTTGTGGAAAATTTGGGATAATTTTATTTAATAAAATAGTGTTTTCTATAGCCAATATATTCTGTTATGGTATGTTGTAAAAATTATGCGATATTTTTTCATTTAAATGTAAGTTTTATAAATATTTTGGTATAACTTATCTCCAAAGCTGTGATATATTTTCTTAATTTTTAAATATAAATGAAAGTTCACTTTGCCTTGCCTTTCATAGTTCACTTTGCCTTGCTTTTCATCTTTAATAAACAACCAATTGGTTTTTCAGACTCTGACTCCCGTAACACGTCATCAAATGTTAGACTTTCAGTCTTATGTCATGACGACAAATGTCAAACTTTTTTTTACCTCGTGGCCACTCGTAAAATCCTAGAAAGCCTTTCAATAAAAATTGTTTCAACTACTGGTAACTCTGATAAGGCCAATCATGAAAATAAGAATTATTAATTTTATATATTTTTTTTCAAAGACTGATATTGTTTTACATTTGATATTTTGACAAATTTTTCCACTGTCATACTTAAACCTGAAAAAATGATTAGTATGTTACCTGCACCATGTTTACTTGAGATGTTTAACTGGTATATATTTCATATACTATTAGTTAAATTAACACTTGTGGATGCAAACTATCAATTATAAATCCCTTTCTTTCATGGTTACAATTTACCTGTAAATTTTGAATTTTTATTTATTACATTTTTAACATAAATTACATTTTTAATATATTTATTAATTTTTATAAATTGATTTTTATCGAATAAATTTTGTGTAAAAATTATAATTATCATAGATTAAATATTTTATAGGCTGTTCTTGATTGTCCTTCGCATAAGAAGATGGCCGAGGCTGTGTTATGTCGAATACACAGGTTGCATTTTAATCCTTGTTGTGCCTGGAAAGCTTGCCCGCATTTAGAACACATGTTTTATGGGTCCAAGTGGTATTGAAGGTAATTCTACTTTCCCAGGCTGTGACCTCTTTTTGGGCATGAGGGGTATGTTTACTCTATGGAGATTGTGCCGTCAACATTGATCTGGCCTCGCCAAGTTTTTCGATCAAAAGTAAAACAACTTTTGAAAAGATTTTTTTCTGCCCACTATCTGATTGTCCTGTAACCCTATGCCAAGACCTCTGCATCAGGGACTAGGTCCTGTCACCCTATGCCAAGACCTCTGTATCAGACACTAGGTCTTGTAACCCTATGCCAAGACCTCTGTACCTGGGACTAGGTCCTGTAACCCTATGCCAAGACCTCTGTATCTGGGACTAGGTCCTGTTACCCTATTCCAAGATCTCTGTATCAGGGACTAGGTCCTGTTTCCCTATACCAAGTCCCTTGTATCTGGGACTAGGTACTGTCACCCTATGCCAAGACCTCTGTATTAGTGACTAGGTCCTGTAACCCTATGCCAAGACCTCTATATCAGGGACTTGGTCCTGTCACCCTATGCCAAGACCCATGTATCTGGGACTAGGTCCTGTAACCCTATGCCAAGACCTCTGTACCTGGGACTAGGTCCTGTAACCCTATGCCAAGACCTCTGTATCTGGGACTAGGTCCTGTAACCCTATGGCATGACCTCTGTATCTGGGACTAGGTCCTGTAACCCTATGCCAATACCTCTGTATCAGTGACAAGGTCCTGTCACCCTATGACAAGAACTATATGGTAGATTGAGATGGCTTAGCTGACTAGCATGTATGCTGTATTCTTTCAATGTATCGCTGGCTGGTGTTGATTTTTTAGTTCATTGCTCTATAAACATTCAGTTTGGCTATAAGATTGAGAACCCTCCCTATCAGATTACACTAGTACAGATTGCTTTGCCAGTAAGACTGACATCTGCTCCATTTTTTTCTCTTCCAAATATGTATATATTTATATATATATTTATATATATACAGGGTGAGCCAACAAAAGTGAGAACATTTCGTTTTTACGAGATGTTCTCACTTTTATTGGCCCACCCTGTATATATATATATATAAAATAATCATATAAAACATTTGGATGATGTCACACAGGGCCGGCCTTAGGCCACTGCACCCTATGCGGCCGCAGCGGGCCCCGCACTTTTTTTTTCTAATATAAAATCTTAATTTTCACATATTATCCTTATCCCTACCAAGACTGGGCTCCGTGCAATCCGTTTCGCATAGGGCCCCACAATTGTTAGGGCCGTCCCTGATGTCACAGTTCACCATGATGTCAAAGGTCACATTCACAGTTCACCATGATGTCACAGTTGACATAAGGTCACAGTTCAAATCAAATTAGAACTACAAACTGAACAATTGCCTTGACATCCACTAAGCAAATCAGAACTATAAACTGAACAATTGCCTTGACATCCACTAAACAAATCAGAGCTATAAACTGAACAATTGCCTTGACATCCACTAAACAAATCAGAAATACAAACTGAACAATTGCCTTGACATCCACTAAACAAATCAGAACTACAAACTGAACAATTGCCTTGACATCCACTAAACAAATCAGAACTACAAACTGAACAATTGCCTTGACATCCACTAAGCAAATCAGAACTATAAACTGAACAATTGCCTTGACATCCACTAAACAAATCAGAACTATAAACTGAACAATTGCCTTGACATCCACTAAACAAATCAGAGCTACAAACTGAACAATTGCCTTGACATCCACTAAACAAATCAGAAATACAAACTGAACAATTGCCTTGACATCCACTAAACAAATCAGAACTACAAACTGAACAATTGCCTTGACATCCACTAAACAAATCAGAACTACAAACTGAACAATTGCCTTGACATCCACTAAGCAAATCAGAACTATAAACTGAACAATTGCCTTGACATCCACTAAACAAATCAGAACTATAAACTGAACAATTGCCTTGACATCCACTAAACAAATCAGAGCTACAAACTGAACAATTGCCTTGACATCCACTAAACAAATCAGAACTACAAACTGAACAATTGCCTTGACATCCACTAAACAAATCAGAAATACAAACTGAACAATAGCCTTTCACTTGAAAACAAAGTTGACAATTCGGCACGTAGGGTGTAAGTCTGAGTGAGAATAAGAGCAGGAAAATAGGTAACAAAACAAATACATCGTAAGTCTCTGTCGACAATGTTAATTTAATCTTTAATGGTGAGGAATATTCCTGTTTGTTTTGGTTCCCGACAAATGGGAAACTTTAATCAGTGCAATGCTTTATAGACGAAGCTAATCTAAAAACATGGCCAGTAATGGAAGCAAATATTGATCAAAAGAACAGAGTGCATTTAACCAGAACTTTCAAGTGGAAAAAAAAACAAACCAAAACTGGTAAGATATCAGATGTGTACACAACGGGGGAGGACATTTAGTCCTCAGACCCAAGGAGAGTGTACCCCGAACGCTCTTTAAACACAGCGTTTTCAGTGTCAACCGGGCGCCCCCCAGGCCAGGGGGGAGGTTCCCGGTGTCTGTCGGCGGGGAGACCCGGCGTCGGCCTGTGTAGGGGTGTGCCGGGGAGGGGGTATAATGAGCTCGTGCTCGACGACCCACGGACGCCATCTCCAATGTGACATTATTAGTCCTCCATTGTGAAACCAAAGATAATACAAGTGACTGGAACATAACAAACAAGACTTATCACTTATCATGGTATGATATTAGAGCAGCCTGCTGATTAACCCAGGCTTACCACAAAGTTGCCAAATAATTTAAAAGTCATTGAACAAGTTATGGTAGATTTTAATATAAATATATTATGCACAGGTTAGAGAGTTTACAACACAGCATAGAATTATTACAATGTACACATATTTACAGAAACAATATAAGTGTGACAACAAAGGCCTCATCAGCAATTTCCCTCTGTCATTTCAACTAACAGTAACACTCCATGGGCTTATGCTGTCAGCCAATTAGTTGTGCGAGGCTAATTTTTGTCAGCTAATCAGTCCCTTGGCTAATTTTGTCAGCCAATCAGGATTTGAGCAGTAAAAGAAACCATGCTGGTATTGAAAATAAACTACAGTGGATTTATAGGACTCTTGAATTTAGCATTGAAACAATTGTAAGCTTGAATGTAGCATTGAAACAATTGTAAGGCATTGTTACGCTGCATTATTGAATATATTAAAAGCCCAATATTTTGTTACAAATTTCATCCGGTATTTATCTGAAACATGATTAAATGAATGTATATACGATACAATCAAATACTAACCAACAAACTAGCTTTAATGCAGTACTCACCAACAAACCTAATTCATTCCAATACAACACTGATCAAAAACTATATTTAATACAGTACTATTCAACCAACGAAGTCCTACTTTTTTCTTCTAAGAAGCCATGAAGTTAATTCTGTTGTCATATGGAATTAAGGAACCATTGCACTATCAAAATAGGGGGTGGGAAAATAATATTTGCAAAGTACAGTACTAAAAGTCTATTAAAAAATACTATTGAAATGTCACCGCGATTAAGGCAGATTAAATTACCCTAAAATATCATAAGCATTATTAGCTATCTTTTACTGTATGAAGTTTACCAGCAAATAGATTTCCACAACTATTTCCACATGCTAGAAAATATAATGCACAGAATGAGCTCGAAAAGAAACAACGAAAATTCCTCCGAAATATTCCACTGTAATTTATTTTCATACCAATAGTATGACATGACAAGCAATTCATACCAATAGTATGACATGACAAGCAAATCATGTACATCAACAAATTATGACAAAACATTAGTGGTTATTATGAGCTTCAAAGATCAGAGATTGAGTATCAAAACCATGAAAACAAGACGGGGGGGAAAACCTGTAAGCTTTACATCATGCCGTGTGGAGGATGCTACAGACATTACCCTTGGGCAGTTCAGTTTTAGATCTATTGGGATAAAATATCACATGTGAAGGATATTGGCTAATTAAAAGCACTGATCCAACTACAATGAGATTAGTTCTTTCTAAACAACATCTCTTTCTTCAACATGTCTTTGAACAATGCTAGGATTCAGTTTGTTCAGTTAAATTTAAACTATATCAACAAATAAACTATACAATCAAATAAATTCTCCTTATACATTAACATACACAACAAATTTGTTCGGGGTGATAAAAAAAAAAAGTTTGTGTTCTAGCATAATGGCCAGATTTCACTTCACTAACCTAGACCAGCAGAGTTATCAAACACGATTTGAGTAGGAATATCCAAATGTGATATTTGGTATAGATAAACATCTTTAAATAAGTTACCTCTTGTTATAGTCAAATATGACCCTACTGGAACATATGTATAAAGTAGGACATGTACATGGGTACACAGCGAAGTACATCTGAATGTAGTAGGAAATGTACACACACAGTGAAGTACATGCACAAGGGGTAAGAAATGTACACACACAGTCAAGTAAACATGTACGTTATATGGGAGTTTTACTATATATACATGTTGTATTATATCTTATGTTGGTTCAAATGTTTAGTGTAATCATCAAGGGAGGCGATTTGCTATTAGAAGTTGAAGGGTTATTTCTTTTGTTTCTCTTATCAAATGAGAAGGCGGGGGGGGAATTAGGTATCAATATTTACACCCAAAAAAAAACTAGGGGAGAAAACCTGGGTGCTAATTATTTTTACATAAACTGGTGGGGGTGGGGGGGGGGGGTGTTAATGAACTGAGGAGGACGTGAAATGTACTTGACTGTGTGCACATGATCAACGGCTGGCTCTATGACCAATGTTGTAAGACCTACAACAATATTTTTTTTCAAGTTGTGTTTCAAAAACAGTTTGTTACATTTTATAGTTCAATAGTGTTATTATTAATTAGCTTATATGTTTATTAGAAGTTGGTAAGCAAACTTTAAGAAGTTACAAGCTGTTACATAATTAATTTCTTGCAGTGCACAATTCTAGGACTATCTGTTAGCTAAATGCTGGAATAACTAGCAATACTTAAGTAAGCATTAATATACCAACAATACCTCAATGTAAAATACACACAAGCAAACTAACACACCTCATGTAAACATGAACAAACCTCATGTAAACATGAACACACCTCATGTAAACATGAACACACTTCATGTAAACATGAACACACCTCATGGAAACATGAACACACCTCATCTAAACGTAAAAACACCTTGTGTTAACATGAACATGTATGCACAATGTCAGTAAATGCATTAAAACAACACTTTGTGAAATAAATAGCATTGAGAATGAACACACACACGCGCACACACACACACACACACGAAGGCTGCACAGTGCAAATGTGATGAGAGCAAGTTGTGCTGTTTGTTTCCAACTCATGTAAGTTAGCAAAAGGTTTTTGACTTTGTACACAATACCATAGTCTCAATGATCAACGGCAGACATATGAAGGATAACTTCATTGTTTAACTTGATAAACAACTTAATGTACATCTGTAATATACAAAATAATATACACCTTCATATGACATAATGTAGAAATAAAGTTGATGTTATATATGCATCTATGATCTCTATGCCAACATGACATTGGACATTATTTGCAGTAAGTATAGAATGCCCCAAAGTGCAATCGTAAGTCCAAGTTAATATGTTGACATAACGAACAGAGAAGCAGAACACATAAATAAATGTTCACATAAACATATTTGTGGAACACTATTTAGCAAAATTAACAGGTTTTTTATGAAGAAACCAAACATACTCACATATAGGTCGCACTTTTAACAAAAAATTTTTATAAAAATTAGGGATGTGCCATGACCGCTCAAAATAACAGGAACCTGAAGTATATGGTGGCAAGTACTCTAGGCTCTAGCATATGCCAGAGCTATCAAGAATAAAAGTTTCCCCACATATTTTGATTTTAGGACACAGTATGATGTATGAGGGACTGCATTCAAGCCAAAGTACAGTACATAAATAGTGGAACAAGATATGCTTTAGGCTTGAATAGACAAATAAATTCTGATTTTCACCATATTGCTGTATGGAATCTGTCAGATTTTTGGTACCATATCACCGTATGGAATCGGCATAACACACTCTTACTAGTTATCCTTAATGTTCCTCCATTTCTGTTCTCAACTTTTGTTGTTTAAAAATGTTACATTATGATACTTAATAATTCTTTTACCTCAATAGTAAGCACCACATTACGAATAATGTGTGATGCACATTTTGGGTTTAAACAACTCAACTTCCCTCACTAACAATAACTTAGAGCTTTTCCTGTTCTAAACATTGGTATACTGTGATGATACAGAGCTTTTCCTGTTTTAATCATTGGTATACTGTGATGATAGAGAGCTTTTCCTGTTCTAAACATTGGTATACTGTGATGATAGAGAGCTTTTCCTGTTCTAAACATTGGTATACTGTGATGATACAGAGCTTTTCCTGTTCTAAACATTGGTATACTGTGATGATAGAGAGCTTTTCCTGTTCTAAACATTGGTATACTGTGATGATAGAGAGCTTTTCCTGTTCTAAACATTGGTATACTGTGATGATACAGAGCTTTTCCTGTTCTAAACATTGGTATACTGTGATGATACAGAGCTTTTCCTGTTCTAAACATTGGTATACTGTGATGATAGAGAGCTTTTCCTGTTCTAAACATTGGTATACTGTGATGATACAGAGCTTTTCCTGTTCTAAACATTGGTATACTGTGATGATAGAGAGCTTTTCCTGTTCTAAACATTGGTATACTGTGATGACATTGAGATTTTTCGGAAAAAAACCTTTTTATTGCTATTTCTATTCTTAATTTTAAGCATCCGTTGTTTTTCTCTTGTTCCACTATTGGACTTCCAGCCATACAGCTACAGATATCCACTTCAAATGCTCCATCTGATCATATATCACTAATTATCTGATTCACTACAAAAAATATTTTTAAGTGATTTTAGACTGAAGCCATTTTCAAAGTTTTTATCTAAAGAGTAACCAGGCACCCGATAAGGAAACACCGAGCCATTACAACCAATCACACAACAGGGCTTAGATCTCCACTTGGGCCCAATATTTGTAAGAAAACTTACTTTGAAAAAAGCCATTAACTCCCCAGATTATATGGCAACTATCTGAAAATCAACCCCAGACACCCACTTAGATAACCTGAAACTAAGGGCGCAACCTATCTCCAGGTCAACCGCAAATATTCACTTGGACAATCTCAAACTAAGAGTGTGGTCTATCCCTTAGTCACCCACTATACCCACGTGGACAAGCCGAACTTAAGGTGTGAGCTATTCACTAGTGCGACCCATAGGTGAGTATAAAGCGTTAGGAACATTAGGAACAATTCTGGCCTGTTTTGAGAATGAAAAAATTAATTAGTAACAATGGATTGGCATAATGAAGATCAATCAATGAAGAAAGTAAGACATATGTAATAATAAATCATTCTATTCATAGATCATTCTAGTAATAGATCATTCATCTAAAATTGAAAGAGCAGTCAAAATAAATATTCTACTTCTATCATTATATTTGAAAAGTCCTGTTTCCACTTTAACCTGGTTTGAGAACCTTAATTGTCAATAAATAATCCCAGTTGTACCAGGCTCCGTCCAAGCCCAGTTGTACCAGGCTCCGTCCAAGCCCAGTTGTACCAGGCTCCGTCCAAGCCCAGTTGTACCAGGCTCTGTCCAAGCCCAGTTGTACCAGGCTCCGTCCAAGCCCAGTTGTACCAGGCTCTGTCCAGGACAGCAACATTAATTAAATCAGCTCAAAATTACTATTTATTCCAAAGGCTATCTTGCAGCACTGTAAATAAAGCACATGTATATGTGACTCACTCTAGAGATTCAAACTGTAAGTTAACATATATTTACAAATGTACAATCAGGATTGCAGACATGTACAAATTAGCAAAAAGTGTACAGAAATTTCTTATCTATTCTAGCTTGTGGAATAGAGAAGGCCTAACAGAAGTTTTAGAAAAAGATTACACAAATTATTATCAAGTCAAATTTATAAGTACTGCAAAATTATATTTAAAAAAAAAAAACACACTGTGGTTTAAGAGCATACCTAAAAATCTAATTCAAACGTCTAAAAAAATTCAAAATAATCTAGGAGACAACAGATGATGGTACGGTACACAGACAACAAGGAATTAGCATGGCACTTGTAGCATTAGAAGCTCAACAGCAGGGCTCAACATACGTAACAGGAACACATTAATTTAGGCTTGGAAACAAAAAAAGACATCCATCATGACCAGGTGATTTCATGATCCACTTTGAGATGCGTATCTAGTTGTTGTTAGACCTTTAGCAAGGTTGGATGTTGGCATCATGTGCCCACAGATTGTAACAATATTTTGTGGAGTCCTTGGCATAACTTATGATGAACAAATTCTGTACAATGGAAGTTTCTTGACATTAACAAGTGGTTAACGTTGATAAGTTTACAGTCAAAGTTCAGGGATGAAACGGAGGGGTGGGGCGGTCAGTGGGGGGTGGGGGCCTAATGTCAGTGGGAATCATGCATAGAGAAGTTAATGGGTGGGAGGCCAGGGGTGTGAAAAGTAGGGGGCCCCATGGAGCCATTAAATGGTTGGCCCATGTGACCCCGAGAGTCAAATCCATGCTGGTAAAAGGCGGCCATCATATGTGATTGAGCAGAGTGAGGGCGACTGTGGTATAAAGATGCTGCAGTCTGGTGCGCACCATGTTGCAGTGAATGATCCATAGTCTGGTGTGGCCCACCAGGAAGGATGGGACTTGTGTGGAGAAATTTGTTGGAAGTGATATTATCTGGTGTGCCGGTAGTCTCATTGCCGAATAAGCCAAATGGGGACATGTGGGGCGGCACCCCCATGGAGTGGGGGGAGATGCCGGCTGCTGCGTTGCTATGGTTACCTGTCATTGAGTTCATGCCAAAGCCACCAGGTTGAAAAAATGAATTCTGAGCCCTGGTGTGGAAGAGAGGGAAGTGTGAGGCGGCCATGTCGGCCGTCTTGGTTCCAGAGTTGGAGATGGGTCTAGGAGGGGCATTGAACATGCCACCAAGGAAAGGTGTGTCTGTCTGGTGGGGACGGGCGGCTGGGGGAGACATGCTCTGGGTCAATGTTGGGAAATTGAGATAGGAGAACGGGGTCTCAAACATGTTCTGTGACAGGCTAGCATCCATGGCGTCAGTGGGAAAACCACTGTGCTGAGAGGCGGTGTTCTTCTTCTTGGAGGACGAAGATGATGAAGACGTGCTTTTCCTTTTCTGGGAGTTCCCACTGCTGCGGTTGTGTGATGACGAAGATGAGTTACCGGAAGCGCTGGCAGCACTGGCACCACTTTGTTGGTGGGCCGAATGATGAGAGGGCTGGGCCCGGCCAGAGGTCGATGTCGCTGGGCTGTGACCTTGACCAAGGTTGGAGCCTGCACCTGAAGCGCTGCCAGTATTGCTGTTGGCACTTCTATGGCTAGAGATGTTGCTACTGCTGGTGCTGTTGTTGTTGCCGCTGGTGCTGCTGGTGTTTGAGGCTGCAACAGAGGGACTGGATGATGACTTTTTAGGTGCCGCTTGTTTTCTTGGGGATTGTTGGGGCTGCTGTTGTTGTTGCTGCTGCTGCTGTTGTTGCTGCTGCTGTTGTTGCTGTTGTGCTTGTTGCTGTTGTGCTTGCTGTTGTTGCTGGTGATGACTGGTCTCGAGCCTGGCACAATCGCGTGCAAACGATGGCGGCCCGTACCCCGATGCTATCTGAGAGTGGGGGTGCGGGAAGCCCATGGCGGTATGATGGCTCACTGATGTGTAGTCGTAAGGTGACCTCGATGGCATGTCCCGAGCGTCCGGCAAATGTCGAAGCGGCATAGAAGCAGAGGATGATGACGGGAAACCCATTGGAAAGAAACTGTTGCCGTGAGCCGCGGAGGACAGGTGGGCCATAGGATCCATATGGCTCATGCCGGCAGGCGGGTGCTGGATGGTGTTCGGACGCTTCTGCTGTTGCTGATATATGGACTCTGGAGTCGACTTCGAACTTGGGTAACGATTCCCGCTAGAAGAATCCATTGTCTGTTTGGTTCCGTTACCATACCCACCGCCTCCTCCAGTTCCGCTTCCCGTGCCAGAAGATTTGGCGGAGCCATTGGAACTCCCAGAACTGTTGTTGGAGGATGTGCTTGTGTTGTATGTTGGAGATTTCGCAATAGGGGGTATGTCCAGCTTGGGTTGATTGCCGTAGGTCATCAGACTGGAAGGACCTATTCCATACGTTGGGACAGAGGAGCCTCCACTAGAGGGCCTCGATGTCGTGTGCTGAATTTCCATGTTACCCAGCGGGTGCATTGCTATACTGTGGTGGGCAGTGGACGACGATGACGAGGAAGGTGGGATGTTCATGGGGGCCGAGGGTGGGAAAAATGGATGCAGATACGAGGTGTTGTGAGAGACGTGACCCCCGCCGGAGGGTTGCATGGGAGCCGCCGGGCCACGGTTACCACTGTTGCTGTTGCCGCTGCTGTTGCTCGGGTTTCCGCTGCATGATGAAGGTTGAGACGACGAAGATGACAGGGAAAAGGAAAACGCCCCCGAACTAGGAGAGGCGAGCGGCACGGTTCCAGAACTGAGCATGGGCGAGGCCGTCGTTACATTGGATCCGATGTTTGTAAAATTGAAAGTGTTATTTGTGTTGGGATGCTCAATGATTTTGTCAACAGAGTACTGGTTCTTTTGTGGTTGGTTGGAACCTTGAGAGAAATTTCCTCCCTTCTGTGAGTTGATGAAGTTAGACGTCTGCTGGTCATTTGATGGGCTCATGTGCTTGAGCTTCATGTTGGATCCACTGGGTGGTGAGGCAAAGTTAGCGTTGCGTGGTGAGGTGTCCGGGGGGGCGAACAACTGGGACAGACTGGCCGCTTGCTGAGGTGGGTGTGAAAGGGGAGGAACTGTCACCCTTTCCATTAATGGGTTGCTACCCATTTGTGAATTCTGCTGCTGTTTTTGACACGAATGGTTGTGCTGCTGCTGCTGTTGTGCAGCCGGGGACATGCTGTGCACAGAACTGGCAGACCCAGGTGAGGCGTGAAGCTTGGGGGATGGGAGGGGTGTCGTCGAGGCAGAGGGGGGTCTTAGATTGTGGGGGCTGCTCTGGGGCGGGAGGTGTGGCGGGTTCTGCCTCTGAGATTTCTGCTGAATGTCTGTGTGTGATGACTGCTGCAGGCCCATGCCCATGTCCCCACCCAAGGGCACATGACTCAAGGGCTGGGTCTGGACAGGCGTTTGTCGTCTCTGTTGCTGGGAACAACTTTCGGCTTCCTCCGACTCCAGCTCAGATGTGATAGGTTTGAGGGGAATGAACTCTGACAGGGCATCGAGGGACGATGAGCTCAGGGAGGGCATTGGAGATTCAGACCGAGCGGAAGATGATGTCGTGGGATCTAAATGGTGAAGGGTGCTGGATGAATTCATGCAGCTGCTCTGCTTGTTGCCGTTGGAGGATGTCAATGTCGGTAAAGGAGATGACACGGACGACGAAGGGGGTAAGGAAAGTGTTGGCCCGGGGGTTGAGGAAGAGATAGAAATACCTCCCGTGTGGGAGCTGGCTGGGGACTTGGGATCAAGGGGAGGAGGGGTGTGCATTCGAGACAGAGGCTGCTTGGCTGAAGGGGAAGGTGATTTTATTTCTTTGCCGGTTTGAGTGTCCAGTGTCAACACGGACTCAGAGTGGCTGTGGTTGATGGGTGGAGCTGGTGTGCGGAGGGCAGGCAGGTCAACGTCTGATGGCGACAGCACTCCATTTTGTAAATTGGGTGGACTTGAGTTGAGGATCATTTTGCCCGGACTGTGCTGGTTGAAAAAGTCAGCTAAAGTCTCAGCAGGAAGTCCAATGGAATTCTCGTGGTCATCATGGGACTCGGACAACTTGGGGGAGCTGTGGAAGTCCACATCGGAGAACACCATAGGGAACGTGTCTTCCAGGCTTGTGTGGCTTTCTTCACTCTGTCCATCTTTCTTAGACATACCAAATGTGCTTTCTTCACTCTGTGCATCTTTCTTAGACACGCCAAATGTGTTGCAACCAGTAGACATGTTGGTGCTGGATGGTTTTGACGTTGGTGTAGTTGCCATGGGCAATGGGGTTGATGAAGATTTAGATGGTAGCGAGGAAAATGAAGGCGGAGATTTCGGCATAACAGGTAACAACAAGGATGATGGGGGATCTGAAGAGGACAAAGATGACAAAGCTGATGTGACAGAAACAGATGATGCTGAGGCTGTTGTTGAAGAATTGGCTTTTGGCATAGCAGACGGCTGCTGATGAGATGCCTGTCTGTTTGTACTGTTCTTGCTATTATTATTATTCTTAGTTTCGCTTCGTGTGGTAATGTTGCTGTTGCTGCCGGTGTCACTTCGTGTGGTATTGTTGCTGTTGCTAATGGTGTCACTTCGAGTGGTGATGGAGCTGTTGGTGTTGTTAAAACTTGAATTTGACTTGCCATCTGTCAGTGCCGGCACAGACGGCACAGGGACTTTACCGGTTTTTCCCTTCCTGCTGCTGTTTTTCTTGGTGGGTGACTTGGCGGCAGCCGGGGTGGGTGGCTGCGTAAGGAAGGTCAAGGCCATGGAACTGTCCTCTTCATCTACAAAATCATAAATGTCAGAAGAGGAAGTGCCCGGGATGTTAGTGCAGGCCATGCCAAACATCATCTCATTATTACAGACTTGTTTGGGAGACTCGGTGAGACTCTGGGATTTTGACACTGGCTTTTTTGAACGTTTGTTTTCCTGTTTGGTGGCAGGCTGGCCGGCCGTTGATGATGACATATCCTGTTTGGCGGCAGGCTGGCCGGCCATTGATGATGACAAATCCTGTTTGCGTTTTCTTGAGGATTCTCTCTTTGTGGATTTAAGGTCAGACTTTTCAGGTTGACCGTTTGTTTCTCCGTAGTCGGACACGCGTTCCTCGTGTTTGTCAAGAGTGTTTGCCTCCAGAGTGGAGTCAATTACTGGATAGACATCGCCCCCATCAGAACCAGCAATACCAGGGTTGAAGATTTCAACTTTGTCCACCATATCCATGAGGCTGATCTGGCTGCCGTCACTATTGAGCAGCTTAGACTCTGTCACGGAATGAAGGATCTGCTCTTTGACGGCTTCATTTTCATTGAGCACAGGCAGCAAGCTGTCGTCATCATCGCAAGGGTCGCTCACACATTTCTCACTTAAAACTTCATTTTTACTCTCTTCCTCAGCCTCCTTTCTCTTCCTCTCTGATTCCTCTTGTGCTTTTGCCAGCCTCTCTTTCTCCTCTTTCTCCTGACGCAACTCCGCTTTTGTTTTTCTCTTTTTGGGAGGAGCTTTTTTCTTGACATCGACTTGTGCGGACGTCTGCATCTCAGAAATTTGTGGCTCGCCTGTCCCCATCTGGATGGTGGCGGGTGTCTGAAGCACGGGAGTGGATGGCTTTCTGCTCCTGCTTTTACCTTTGGCAAGGGGCTTCTCCGATGCCAGAGAAGCTTGATGCATGGCATCCACAAATGTTATCGAGGGCTGCTCATGTCCAAAACTCAGATTGGTAGAGATTGATGACACTTTAGCTGGAGCGGGAGCGATTGGGACATATGTCTTGAGAACAGGAGATGTGGTTGTGCCGGGCACAGACATGGCCAGGTTGATTGTCGGTGCAGAATCAAAAGATGAGTTGGTCGTGCCACTGCTTCCTGTCACAACCGTCGTGTATGAACTGAGCTTTGCGGTTGCCTCGGAATTCATCTTCATTTTACCATCAGTGCTTATCGCCCCTGACAGCCGAGCAAACACATCCTCAGGGCGAAAAGGTCCCGCAACCACTTGCATCTCAGCACCAGCTGAAGAATTTCCAATACCTATTGTTGACACGCCTGTTGCAAAGATGTTTGATGAAAGGGGGCTCAACGGCTGCGATGTGGTCATACCAGCAATAGGGGTACTTGAGCTGAGCTTCTGTGGTTTGGACATGTGAGATGTCGACGAGATGTTGGGAGACACAAGGGGAGTGGTCAAATCTCCACTGGTTGCTTGCAGGTGAAGAGACGGGTGGTGTGCCCCCGAGATGCCCAAGCCCAGGTCATGCGTGAAAGCTGATGAGCTTGTGTTGACAGACAGAGTCGACATATTGGGACTGAAGGAAGAGTGGGCAGGCGAGGTGGAGCTGATGCCACTCGTGCAGTTCTCATCGATGATCAGCTGAACATTTTCATCTTCCTCATCGCGCGGTGACTGTTTCAAGTTGATCTGCAGCTCAACGGAGGAACCCGACAAGTTCATGTTTGACCCGGTGGATATGTTCAGCACACTTTCATTGTTGGCACTGGTGTTGGCGTAGTCGGAGGCGCCGGGGTCAGACTCCATGAGGATCCCAGCCGTGGCCGTGGCTTGTGCCAGCAGATCTGTTTTGATGATGGGGGTCTTCTCCTCGTAGTGCTGGCCTCCCTGCTGCCGACTCCCCTTGGATTTGTTCTTGGACTTATCAATAGCAGACGACATCTTGAGATTGCTTAGAGGGACCGCGGAGGAAGATGTTGAGAGGGGCTGTTGAATGTAGTGCTGTGAGATTTCTGCTGCCGCTATTGGAGACGCTCTAGAAGCTGAAGGAGATTTCTTCCTATTCTGGGAGAGTTTAGTCGGCTGGCCGGTTGATGGGTTGAGCTTTGTCACTATCTTCTGGCCATTGATGATGAACTGTTGCGAGGGCAGGATGCTCTGGTAGCCACTGCTTATGGCAACTGTTGACCCCATGGTTGGACTTGTTTGCGACAATGCTGGGGCCAGTGCTGGAAGACCCTATGAATTAAAGAATGATTGGTTAATTAAGGAATGATTGGTGAATTAAGGAATGATTGGTGAATTAAGGAATGATTGGTGAATTAAGGAATGATTGGTGAATTAAGGAATGATTGGCAAGCTTCATGACAGCCATATTTCTGTAAGTCAAGTTTAACATTTACTGTTTGAAAGCCTTTAAGTTTATAACTGTTAAGAAACAAAGATGGTGGCAGTGATATATCAGTAGAAAAAAAAATGTTCTTAAAGTTTATTTAAATTTAGATCTAGATAATTATGATTCTATGCTAGTCAATTGAGCTCTCCTTGACTGGTTTGGAAAATGAATAATCATTGCGGTACGGGGTTTACACTCTGGCTGAAATGACACACCTTAGCTCCCTTAGAAGCGGCAGTAACAGAAGGAGAACTGATACAAGCGGTCACAGAGTTGGTGGTCACTGTGCTGGCAACCATGGTTGAGGCCACAACCAGTCCTCCATTTTTGCCCAGTTGGAAAGGTGTCGTTGAGCCCAGCTGGGCCCCCGCCGGGGCCATCTGTAGAATACCGTGCGGAGCTGACATTGCTGGCGAGTGAAGAGGCCCGGACCCTAAGATCTGAGGAGCCATCTGGAAGGTTGTCGCCGGGGCGTTTATCAGGATCGGTGGGGCACTGGGGTTTGTTGGGTCATACTGACAGGGAAGAGAGTAAACAAAAAACATCTATGTAGAGATGAATCCAAGAACTAAAACATGGCAGGTATATTTTATCAATTTTGAGACAGGAATCCTTTATGACAAGTTCTGATCAATTGTAACCAACATGTGTGAATGTGGGTGTTATAGACGTCTCGTTTAATTTCATTCATATGTTCTGGTAAATGAACTTAAGCTGACCCCAAGTTCACCAGCGCTATAAGGGTATGGCTAATTTAAAAATAGTCTCCCTTGACATCGATTACAAATAAATAAAATCGATGGTCAATATTATTATTAGAATTCTGTAGAATTATATAGAAATATCGAAAAAGGAATACAATGTGTAAGTCAGTTCGAGAAGTTTCTATGAAACAGGCTATATATAGGCATAGGGTGATTGAGTGACGGGAAGATCATATGTGAGATATTTTGAGCACTATTACCATAGAGATTTTTCTATACGAGACAGAGATTTGTTTACTAACATTTTGATATGTGTGTGTAGATTCCTTTTCATCACTGTACCTTTTTTTTTACAACATTGTATCTACTTCAAAATTTTACCGGAACTAGCCAATCATTATACTGTAAATCAATAGCTTTAATTTTATGTATTTCTGATTTTGTAATTTATTATTAACCTAATAAATTCATTAATTGTGATTAGCCCAGGTTTGAGTATCGTATTCTTTGTTATAGTATTTAACATATGGTATCATCTTTTGTTGTGTACTGTTTAAGAACCAGCCATATACTTAAATAAGAGATTAAATTGTAACCAACACATGTGAATATGGGTCTATGATAAATTGTAACCAACACATGTGAATATGGGTCTATGATAAATTGTAACCAACATGTGTGAATATGGGTTATGATAAATGTAACAAATATGTGTGAATATGGGTCTGTGATAAATGGTAAGCAACCAGACTAAATGTGGGTCTAGTCTATGATAAATTGTAGTTGACCAGTCTGAATATGGGTCTATGGTAACCCCATCCTTAAGTATAGAGAGATATCTTATGAAAATTGAGTTGTTACCTGGAGGGTAAGGTTACATTTCCAAGTCCTTCCTATAGTGTTGATTTTATTTACCTAAAGGATGGGGTTACCTTACCAGTTCAATGTTAGTTTTTATTACCTGTAGGATGGGGTTCCCTCCTAATGCCAACTGGGACTGCTTCTGCCCAATGGTATTCAACGGAGCAGCTGTTGGCACTATGGTCTGTGGATTGGTGGAGATTGGTATGAGTGAGCCATCCACCATGACATGAGTGGGCCCTTGAGGGGCTGTGTTGTCCCCTGGCTGTACAATCTTCAACTCGTTGCCCACCAACTTCACAGTGGCGCCATTCAGAGCCGTGCCCACAGTGTTGAACATGCCAGTAAATGGGTTCACCATCTGAAGTCCTCCAAGGCCAGCCAGGTTGAGAACCTTAAAAAAAAAAAAAATAACATCCTTGAAATTAGATTCATATAACATCGTCATTAACTACACGAATTAATTTCTTAGCTTCCGGCCTATAATTAATGGCATTGCTCCGATACAGATGGCTTTGTTTCACTTCAAAAAAAGGTAAAACCATGTGGATCCCAAACACTTCAGTTAATTATCGACATGATGCATGGAATACCTCTTTGAGAAGCATTGAAATATTAATTTGCAAAATATAAATAAAACTGTAACATTTTGATCTATTAAATAAATTATCAACTATTGAAGCTAGCTCAAATCAATTTTTTTGTAATATTAAATACAAAAAGTACCAACTATTTAAGGTAGCGCAAATAAATGTATAAGTCATATTAAATATAAAAAGTACTAAACAGTTGTTTATACTATCTTCATTTAACTGACCAATGCTAGCACAAAGTCCTATTTATTTATCAGTTCATTTAACTGACCAATGCTTACACAAAGTCCTATTTATTTAACAGTTCATTTAACTGACCAATGCTTACACAAAGTCCTATTTATTTAACAGTTCATTTAACTGACCAATGCTTACACAAAGTCTCATTAATTTAACAGACCAATGCTTACTCAAATATAGCCAATAGCTGATCAGTGGCTTACCTGTTGCTGTTGAGACATCGGGTGTGTCATAAACAAAGAGCTGGCAGACAGGAGTTGGCTTTGAAGTGAATTCCCGTGATTCGGCGGCATCAGTGTGAATGGCTGGTTGGATCCCTGGCCTCCCGCCAGTGACACTATTGGAGACTGACCCAAAAAACTGGACTGTGCCTGGTGATGCAATGACGATGGGATCATGCCTCCGTTGCCCGCCGTCGAGTTCTGGAAACCAGATATGATATTTCCACCCGCACCTGTGACGGACACAAAATCCAAGCCCGTCGTGGCAGACTGCATCTGATTTATAGATGAATGCAGTTGTACCAGTTGACCTTGTTCGTTGATGGTGTAGATAAGCGGCTGATTCTGATTGGCTTGTCCAAGTTGGCTGCTGTGGTTGTAGTTTCCTTGACCGAGAATGTTGCCAGGAGTCATCCCACCGTGACCGTGCTGCTGAAAGTTATTTCCAGGGGCCAGAGTTATCCCGGGCTGCTGGCAAATGCTGCCGCCCTGTAAACTGTTTTGGCAATCTTGTTCACCATGCTGTGCGCTACTGATAAGCCCCTGGTCAGTTAACGTCAGCACTTGACCATTGAAAAAGACTTGTTTACATCCCTAGAATGTGGGGACAAAATATAGTATTACTGTATTATGTGCACATTCAAGCCCTTCTTAAATCACTTTTCTGCATGTTCCTTAATAATCATTTAATGCTATCACTTTTCTGTATGTTCCTTAATAATCATTTAATGCTATCACTTTTCTGTATGTTCCTTAATAATCATTTAATGCTATCACTTTTCTGTATGTTCCTTAATAATTATTTAATGCTCCTGTTAAATGCTAAAACACTTTTTTTCTAACATGTGGTTACTAACATTTCCATTAAGTTGGTCTAAAAACCATTAAGATCTTTACTGATACAGAGCTTTCATCAAGAAAAAGCCTGACTCATAAGAAAAGTGCTCATGGTGATACTTATTTATTAACATATGAAAGAGATAGAAAATTACAGTTATTTTCAAGACAGTTTTGGGGCAAAGTTCAGATCTGTACCCAATAAAACAATTTGTAGAAAAAGCCAAGAAAACAACAACCAGGAGTGGGCAACTTTGATTCAGCATAACTGATGTGTCCACCGCCAAAAGAAAGCACAAGAGAGCCCTGCTAATATTTACTGTCACTCTGAAAAGGAGATGTTGACCTTTAACCTAGTACCCTCACAGCAGTGCACCCAACCATCTCACTGGAGCGTAACAGAAATATATTTCTTAAAGGTCTTATAATATAGCTAGAACCTTCAAAGAGAAAAATTTAGTAAGCCACTGCACTTCTGGCTGAGGCTGGGCAGCCCCGGTTTTCGCCAGAGTGTCCGCTCTCTTGTTGCCACTGATGTTGACGTTACCTGGTATCCACTGTATTGTAACCTTGCCCCCTAGTTCACCAAGTTTGCATACGTCGTTGGTAATGACGTCGACCAAGTGGCCTCAGCCAGAAGTACCAAAGACTTTCTTGGGAATTAAAAACTGGCTGGCGGACCACTTCAGTCAGAAGTGGTACAGGCAATGGGCTAACAACACGACCGCCAGAGGCGTCTATTCAAACTTGCCCACTCCTAGCAAACAAGACCCATGGTGGGGGTTAGGACGCGGCACGCAGAGTTTAGTGACACAGATGCGCACCGAGCACTGCCCCTTGCGTGCATATTTCTGGCGGCTGGATAAAAACAGGGATCCTACCTGCCGGCATTGCAGCCTGGCCCCGGAGACCCTAGAGCACCTGTTGACCGAATGTCCCTCACTAGATCTCCCGGGGGAAGCCAGGGCGGTTGGAGGACCTTTTGTGAGGGAAATGTTGTATGGCTCAGCTCAACAGATGGAGTTGATGGCCAATTTACTAGCCGGGGTCATAAGAGAGTAATCTCAGACCCTCACCAGAATATGTGTGTTAGTTAGTAAGCCACTGTAGATAACTATAGCTTATTTCTGCACCAGGGATGACAAACGTTTTGCATACAAATTATATAAATAATTGAAAAGACTGAACTCAATGAAATATCGACTTACCTGTGTCAAGGTAGTCCCAGTGTCAGGGTGGGAGAAAGTCATTATTGGAGCCTGCTGCTGTTGTTGCTGTTGATGCAAATGACCCATGGAGACGGAAGATAAGCCACCGCCCATGGAGACGGATGAAAGGCCGCCGCCCATGCCGACTGAGAGCCCCATCATGCTGGCCGAATGATTGCTGGCGATGGACGATCCCGTTAGTCCAGACATGTGTGAGCTGGTGGCCACAGAAGCTAGCGTCTGCAGGGCCGATGTTGAGCAAGTGCCGTCCTGGTGGAGATTCATCATTGGTGAGATTCCTTGTTGCTGTTGGTGGTGGTGCAGCATCGATAAGTCAGACCCCTGGAGGTTGCCCATTCCTCCACCGCCGTTTGAGTTGTTGTTGCCACCGCCTGTGTTCTGATGATGCAGTCCCATCAACTCTGATGCATTAATTAAGTTTCCAGATGATGAAGACTGGGTAGACGAAGAGGAAGATGAGACTGAAGACGTTGAATATACTAAGTTTGTTTGAGCGCCGTCACCTCTAGAGCCGATATTAAAATCGTTGCTCATTATATCCAGAAACGGGACAAGTGTCGAAGACGTGGGATTGACACGGCTGCTGGATGTACTTCCTGCGACAGACGCTGTGCTGATTGATCTGTTGGTCTGTTGGTTCCGTGTCTGACCAAGTGATGGACTTTTGACAGACAAGATGGTTGGTGCAACAGTCATGATGGAGATGCCTGACGACGGCACTGGAAGCACTAGGGAGGATGGAGGGAGATTATTGACACCGCTGCTGTTACTGTGATGCCCAAAGTTGGAGCCCAGCAGTGGCATAGAGGCTTCGATGGGGTGAGCCTCTGTTGCATGGGGAGGCTGAGGGGGAAAAAAAGTGATTTTGTTTTTTCACTGCAAAGAATGTAAACCTTCAAAATTTCTTAATTAATAGGTACTGCATATTAAAAGATAGGATTTAATCAGGTTATAGTTCACTGATTTGTAATAAAAAGATTATTTATTTTTTTAATTAATTTTAATTATAATTTATTTATAATAAAAAAAATGTAAACTTTTTTAAACCTAATAGTTTTAATTTATTGAGCCATTCAAGGAGAAGAAGAAAAACAACATATTCCTACCGAAAATCATAAAATATTTAGAGCTACCTATTTAAAAAACAATTGTTTCATCTTTACACCTTTATGGAAAAAACAATTGCTTTATATTACAGCTTTATTTAAAACAATTGCTATATCATTACAGCTTTATTTAAAACAATTGCTATATCTTTACACCTTTGTGATGAAACAACTTTACACCTTTATATTAAAACAATTGCTTTATCTTCACCTGAAGTTGATCGTTTCTCTCTTTTTCCAATAGTTTGTTGATAGTTTTGGGCCTGCCGGGCCGTCCATCTCTATCAGAGCTTGTTGCCAAAGGAACTTCATTGGACTTTGGTTTCAGAATCTTGCTCAAACCTGTATAAATGTCAGGAAATTTTTTTTGAAGGCATGTCTTTTTAATAAATTCCAGTTCAGATGCTCTGCTATTTTATGTAACAAGTAACCACATTGTTTATAAATACAATTTTACCAATACAGAAACAAGAAAAATAAATGTACCAAAAGCCTTGACAGTTTCTTCCAACTCTTTGATCTTCTCCAGATGAGCGGCTTCATTTTCACGCAGACGTTTGAGTTCTTTCACTGAAAAATTCAAGTAGGAAATGAAGTAATACATATAAATCATCTGATCTCTTAAAGCAACAGCTAATAAAATGATTCCTTGTTGTTGGGGAGTTGCGTCAATTTTTAAACTTAATTTAGTAACCTCAGATATTTCAAACTCACAAAATCGTAATATTTCAAACTCACAAGATCTTAATATTTCAAACTCACATTCTTAATATTTCAAACTCACAAACTCTATACATTACAGTTTAAAAATCCCAAATCAATCCTTTTATGAGCAGCAGCTACAAGACTGCACTGACTTGTATATTTCTTTTTTAAACTGGTTTGGAGGTTGCCAACAAAAGTAATTACTTTAGGTCAGTGTTATAAAAGGACTAACAATATCCTTCACACACCTTGAACCCACTCTCTCGTATGGCTTGACCCCACTCTCTCATGGGGCCTGAGGCCAATCCCTCACAAAGATTTAACGCACTCCCTCCCATGGCTTGACCCCACTCTCTCATGCCGCCGGAGTCCACTCCCTCACACAGCTTTAACCCACTCCCTCCCATGGCTTGAACCCACTCCTTCATCCAAGTTGAACTCCCTCACACGGCTTGAACGCACTCCCTCACATATTAAAGGAGTACGTAGGTTAAAAATTCCATATATTTTGTGAATATATTTTGAATGCTTGCTATGAGTATGTAAAAATAAAAGTTCACTTACAGTCCACAGATGCTAAATTGTTTTCATAAGCTTGATTTTTCTCTTTAAGTTGCTTGATGTAATCCTTTGCTTGGGACACTATGGAAAGTGTGCTCTGAACAAAGAATGTTAAAAACTGGCATAATTAAAATTGTAAAATGTTTTTGGGTCAAAAGTAGACTAGAATGTCAGGGATATCCTCTTTCAAATCTGTCATGTCAAGCTATTTATTAAATAATGCTAAGCAACTTTTACACATGAATAATTACTAGCAAAATGTTAAGAAATTACAGATTTCGTAAAGCCAATGAGAATAACATTCCCGTAAGAAAAATAAAATTCAGGATAGAAACGAGGTAAATGGAAGTTCATAATTAAAAATTGCAGCTCAGGTAACTGAGCAAAATCTATTGTGTTTGGTTTCTATGTATCTTACCGGCTTGCGATCAATATGTTCTGCACTAGGAGGGAGCTCTTTGGCAATTTCTCCAATGCAGGTTTTAATTTTTTCTTTCCTCTGCTTTTCTTGGTCATTTTGTTGGATTCGTTTTGCCTCACTTGGCTTCTTTAAATCAGCTTCTTTAGTATTCATTGCCACATCTAAGATAAGACATCACATAGAAGAAAGTTACAATGTATTTCATCTAAAAAAAAAAAAGACATCACAATAGAGTGCGGTAAAATACAAGTCTCTGTATAGAATTGAATATGGTATTGTCAAAATGAAGCCATTAATATCACGATCATCATGGCAGGTGTTGAACAACTTAACCCACCAGAAAATAAAAAACTCAACTTTAAATCAGCTTCTTTAGTATTCATTGCCACAACTAAAATAAGACATCACATAGAAGAAAGTTACAATGTATTTCATCTAAAAAAAAAAGACATCACAATAGAGTGCGGTAAAATACAAGTCTCTGTATAGAATTGAATATGGTATTGTCAGAATGAAGCCGTTAATATCACGATCATCATGGCAGGTGTTGAACAACTTAACCAAACAGAAAATAAAAAACTCAGGGTTTACCAGGCATGCAGGCTCAGTATGCACCTCTGTGTGTGGAGCATTTATCTTTGCCACAAACAGAACTAAACAACTACCACCTAAGATGCCTGTGGCACATCAATGCACCTCTATGTGCGGAGCACTTACCCCTGCCACAAACGGAATCTAAATAGCTACCACTTAGATGTCTGTGGCACATCTGATGGCAGAAAAAATTACCAACCACTGAGATACTGGAACATGCCAAAATATACGAAATTATTTGTTTTAACCTTAAAATTTCCAGTAAGAATTTTGTTATTTTAACCCTCAACTGCCATTAGCACCCGATAATGCCTGCCTAACTCCCAAAAGGGCCTGCAAATTACGCCGGACAGTGGCACGTCAGACTAACTGTCCCAACTAAACTACCATGCATTCATCTGCTAAAATTGACTGCTGCTCTTGCCAGAAAGATGCTCTTATAAAAATAAGAAATCTGTATGTTTCTATATTCTTGCTTTTAAAAGTTATGAGAGTTCAAAGTTAAGCATGTATTTCCAAGCTAATAGTATATGTGACAGCATGCTAAGTTTAATACACTAGTACGTTAAGATGATGAAACAATCGAACAGATTGATGTACAGCTTATTGAAACTAATTTAGAAATTAATACTGATGTTCCTATAACTGAAGATATATCTGAAACAAGACTATAAAAATCAATACTTTTACAACGGTAGATAATTAAGCCGACAAAACAAGGGTGACGATGATAGACAGTAAACTTAATGACTCACTACATTTCCTAAAAACTTCTCTGCTTCCAAAGGTAGACATCAAAGACAGAGATAACCTAATTTATATTAACTCGTCTAATGCCAGAAGTTTATGGTAAAAAATGCTACTTAAGTTAGGTGTTTGCATTATATGCCCATGATTGTGTGTAAGCAATTTTTCCCTAATGATGTTTACAAATTCTAAAGCAAACAAATCTTCTTTACCCACTCAGCATTTGATAACCAAGCCAGCAATGAAAGTAACATCCGCTTGGCAGGATATTATTATAGTTGTATCGGTTTAACCACAATTTTAAATATTAAAAGAATTTCGAGGATTTTGACTTTTGAATTTTAAAATATTTCTTTTGTAATTTGTATTGTATTATTAATAATGTAATGGAACAAGATAACAGATCACATTATCCGTGGACATAGCATTTCAGGTTAGTTTTAAAACAAAATATTTGGTGTTCGCATTATATGTGGATGTTATTATATATGTTCATATAATATATGCTAATACGACATTAACCAATAAATTAAGTAATTGTGCACACCACTAACTAGTACATTTATAAGCACTACTGACTAGCCTAGTTACTGGTTACTTATTTAACTTATTAAAATTAGTATTAGTCTATTCGTTGATACCAACACCAAAGCCTTGCCCTTGCATTATAAATTATAGAGTTTATAGAGAAGTATATTCTGGCATAAAAATATGTAGCTTTAGTTTAAATAGGACTAGGACTAGCCTAAATCATAAAAAATTATAAATGTTAGTACAGTTAATTCAGTTACAGTCAAGTCAAGTTACTTCGCCTAGTAGCACTAGTACTAGTAAGACTCAAGACTTACTTCAGACTACAGGTACTTAAGGTTAGTAGTTACTAAAACATTAGTTATTTTTTAAAAATTGTAGTAAAGTAAGAGGTAGGTTGAAAACACAAATAGTTAGCATTTTTTTAAATCTCACTAATTTACTGGACTTAAATTATTAAAAATTTTTATAATTAAGGCCCCCCCCCCCCCCCCCCCCAATTAAATTATTTAAAAGCAAAGTAGGAAAGAATGTGAAATGCCGTCCAGGTCCAAAATAATGAGTTCAGCTAGGCTAATAAAGAGTAGTATTTAATTTAATTAATTATAATCAAATTAGGACTAGGCATGATTTTCAATTTTTATCTCATTTGGTTTTTAGTTTTTAGTAATTGAAATTCTAGTGCAAGTGTAGTAGCAGAGTAAGAGTAGTAGTCGTAGTAGGTAGGGGTAGGTTGTTGTTGTCAGCTCTTACAGACAGTTACTATTTAGCTTACAAAAATGTAAATAACGTTCAATAATATCATATAAACAAAAGAGGCCATGCTAAATTTCAAGCAGATTTTAAAGTAACAAACAAAACCGATGAAGACCTATGTCTGCACATTATTTTGTTGTTGTCCATAGACTCCTTCCGTTCGCCATTTTGAGTTCATATTCATTACGGCCTCGTTTTGGCGCGTGAGGGGATTCCTTATGACTGGACATGTAGGGATTCAGGGAACTCCAGTCAAGTGCAAGGACACCCAAAGTAGTTAAACGGCTGATTAATTAGATATACAAATTTACCGACGCTTATTGCAATCCCCTTTCAAATAAAGTTGGCCTTTAGAAGTTTAATTAACAAAATTAAGTTATAATTATTTATATTGTGCTTAATTCATAGGCCTAAATTTTAATTATTTCCTTACCATAAACAGTGGTTGATTAAGAACTGCGGATACCGCTGGCATCCAGTTTTTCTTTCAGGTATTTTCCGCGGGGGCAAAAAAAAGTAGGATGGGGTCATTTCAGATATCCGGGTGGGCAGTGGCATAAGACATAAGAAGGCAGGTTTTATTTAATTTGCTATGTACTTTGCCACCTCCAGTAATAAACAACAAGCCGACCGAGTTTTTGTTTTGTCCCCCCCCCCCCCTCTTTTTTTTTTGTTTTTTTTTTGGAAAAAAAACTGAAATAATGCCCCTGCCTCCCCAGACAATTTTTGATCATTTGAAAATCCAGATGTGCATTTTCGCGTATACCTGAATTCAGAGTTTCTAGACAATTTGAGCGGAGGAAAGGATTTCTAACAGCATGCAAATCAGGCTTTATGGCGCAGAAACCGAGTGTGCTGAAGACTCCCGAGTAAAAGGCGGGAGGGGGGAGAGGCGCCTCAATGAATTTTTAAATTAAGTTTTGCATCATTCTACACTTAATCGCAGAGCAATATGAGATAAGCTAGTTCAAAACTCAGCTGCTAGATTAGTTCTAAAGGCAAAAAAAAAGCGCTGTTTGAGGCCATTGTAATAATACTACTAGTTAGATGTGTATGTTTAACTTGACCTAAGAGTTATCATGTGGGCCCTGCAACCATTGTGGCTGCAGGAGGTCGTGGATATTTAAGGGCTCAAAGTTCTGATGTGGACATTTTTATAATTTCAACTTGATGAATGCAAGGAGGGGGGTCCAATGGCGTACGGCTCTACTAGACCTTATTTTAGTATACAAAAACTTTTCTTTTCTTTTTTTTTTTTTTTTATTAATTTTGTTTTTATATTTTTTATTTGAACTTTTTTTTTTTTGTTATCTATTTTATTATTCAATGTTTTTTTTT